CTTTGGAAACCGTTTCATCTCGCTCGCACCACTTGTGTTTACTGCCTAGTCAGGTGACGTTATCGGCACTATTTTTAGCAGGGCTTTCCCGAACAATTCAAGTGGTCAAACTGGACATTTGGAACGGACTATGAATATGGGGATAGCGAGGTAACATAAGTGGAAGTGCATACAATACATACATTCATTAAAAAAAAAAACGCCTTTTCACGTGATGTCCCTTTAATATAATTATAATTTTTACTCTTAGGGAGTGAATTTCAGCAAAATTTGAATCGGTATATTTCATAAGAAGGTATTTTAAACATGTTAATGCCATTTTAGCAAATATGACATTTTTTCCCCGACCAGCCCCTTTAAGATGTTTTGGGAAATTATGAAATTTCGATTTATTTTTTTAATCCAAACAAGAGGCCCATGGGCCTTAACGGTCACCTGACATCCGATTCAAATTAGGACTGTCATCCAGGGGCCAATTCATACTTTTCGTCGGTCTTGCTGCATCGTCCATTATTTTTTCCTTGTGAACACAATAACTTCAGTAAATATGAACTGATTTTCAAAATTTTGGCTGCATACAAAGTTTCATCAAACTCGGTTAACATTTACTCAAGTTATCATGTTCACCAGGTTCAATAATAGTAAGATTACAAAGGGCAATTACTCTGTAAGTTACTGTCGAATAATTCCCATTTTTGAACTCGTCCGAGATCTTTATGATATATGGTTGCATACAGTTTTATCAAACTCGGTTAACGTTTACTGAAGTTATCGTGTTCACAAGGAAAAGTTAACGCACGACGCACGACGACGGACAAAAGACTATCACAATAGGTTACCATGACCTATGGTCATACACAATTTACAACATACAATATAGAACTTTTTGTATACAAATATAATACAGTAGGCATTATACAGTAGACATTACCAACCAATACAATTACTTCAAATGTAATAACCAATAAAAAACAAATTGCACATTGTGTATTAATAACATTATAACAAACAATGTACTTTACTGTGTCATAGCAAAAATGTCACAATGAACAACAATAACAAAGTTCCACATACTTTACACAACAATAATACATTTCTACATACTGTACAAATAACATACTATGAGAGAGAGAGGGGGGAGGGAGAGAGGGGGGGGGGAGGGAGAGAGATTATTACTTTCAACATATAATGCATACACTCATTCTTACTTTTATGTACAAATTATAGTAGATTTTGAAATTTGTCATGAAAATGGAACCATCCAGCACAGCCAGCGCAGTGATAACCTGGCACTATTCCATACTTTCAGCTATTCATAAAAAATATCACACTATATAGCAAAAATAAACCATTTGTGCCCGTGTAAAAGCACTGATAAAGAGATAAATGCAACGGACATCAAAGAGCAGATAACTCTGCAATACGCAAAGACGGAATATGAAGGCTTCAAAAACTTTCGTCCTTCCGGTCATACAGGCTCGCAAAAAACGGCAACATGCAACTGAACTTTTTGTAAACCGATTGCTAGTTATTGATGTCATACGTGTAACAAACCGACAGCTTCACATGATGGTATACATTCAAGCCTAGCATTGAGTTTCGTATTGCTCTCTAAAAATGTAAATTTTGGGCAGGTTCGTCACATGACAGAGGGGCAGGTTCGGCAAATGCCATACACGGGAAGCCTGAAATCGGAAAAATATGACGTTGCATGCTTTCTGACGTCATTGTTATGCAAATTCCAATGTGGGCCGAACTGACATGTACCCCAGACATCTTTTCGAACTTACCCCAAGGCGGTGCACATTAGGCCATACACTCTTCCAACGGTGAAGAGTTTTATTACTCTTCAAATACGGGCATGTTTGCCATTCTGTTATCGTTTTATGAAGGGTAGGGACTTTTCTCTTCCAAATGGTGTAAATACACATAAATTTTAACAAATACTGTCCAGAACGACTTTGAATAATGAAAATGGGCCAAACTTGCCCCTGTCTACTTACCCGATATTTTGAAAGAAAATCCTACAGGCTGGCAGGGGTTTTGGGAGGGATGAGGACGAAAAAAAGTAAAGGCAAGGCGTAGCAAGGGGAAGCAACTCTGTTTACGCACCATTTAAAGAGCATTTGGCGCCCGAGAGCTACGCTCTTATTAATATGTATTACTTATATGTTTGTGTAGGTACTCAATAATATCATGGAATTAGATTAGATCTATCTAAGTCTGTGATAATATATATGTATATGTGCTTCAATTGTCACTGGCATTTATTTCATTAATTAAGAAACTAAAAAAACAGAATGCGTTCTGCAGAAACTGCGTAAAGACAATTTCAAAACAGTATCTTCCTGAATATAAAACCTGTTGTGTGTGTGTGTCGCAGTCAAGATGTCATGTTAGTATTGTTTAACGTCCTATCAACAGATATGGTCATTTAAGGACGGCCTCCCCTGTGTGCAAGATGTATGCGTGTGTGTTTTGAGAATCTGCGATATGTTCGTGTTTGTCTCCTTAATTGTTGATGCCGACTTTATAGTGCTACCTCACTGAAACATACTGCCGAAGACACCCAGCAGGTTACATTATACTGACAACGGGCGAACCAGTTGTCCCACTCCTAAATTGCTAAGCGTTTACAGACTCTGGTATGTCTTGGCCAGGGGACAGAACCCGAAGCCTTCCTCACAGGGGCGAACGCTCAGCTAAAGGCCAAACGTGAGGCATGGTCAATGGAGACAATGGGAAGAAGAAAGTTGTTTAGAAAAACGATCGTACAATTAGGGAAGCAGGTACAATTCGTACGCCCTGCCTGCAGGGACTAGGAGGGAGAGTGGAGAGTTACCGGAAGAGTCGATTCCGCAGATAAATATACAGATCCGAGAAACACTTTTAAATTGAAGTGGAGCGCATGGCCTAATTTGGACACATTATTTGTGATTTTTATAACGCAATTGGAAATATGATTATGTATCTATGTTTTGGCGCACAGATCAGCAGTCATTTAAGCTATTAACAATGTCTTTTTAGCTCACCTGCCCAAAGGGCAAGTGAGCTTATGTCATAGTGCGGCGTCCTTCGTCCGTCGTCGTCCGTCCGTCTGTCAACTTTTCCTTTAAACAACTTCTTCTGAAGAACGGACAGGCCTAGAGTCATTATATTTCGCTGAAAGCTTTGTTGGTAGGAGCTCTACAAAGATTGAGAACGGAAATGACCTTGACCTACTTTCAAGGTCACAGGGGTCAAATATGTCAAAAACGTCAAACGACCTCTTCTGAAGAACTAAAAGGTATAGACTCTTCACATTTGGCTGATGGCTTCCTGGAATGGAGCTTAACAGAATTTGAAAATGAAAATGACCTTGACCTACTTTCAAGGTCACATTGGTCAAATGTGTCAAACACTTCAAACGACTTCTTCTGAAGAACTGAAAGGTATAGAATCTTTATATTTGGCTGGTGGCTTCCTGGGATAGTGCCCAACAAAGTTTGAGAATTAAAATTAGTTTGACCTACTTTCAAGGTCACAGGGGTCAAATATGTCAAATGATTCCAACGACTTCTCATGAAGAACTGAAAGGTATAGAATCTTTATATTTGGCTGGTGGCTTCCTACGGATAGAGCCCAACAAAGTTTGAGAATGAAAATTAGTTTGACCTACTTTCAAGGTCACAGGGGTCAAATATGTCAAATGCTTCAAACGACTTCTTCTGAAGAACTGAAAGGTATAGAATCCTTATTTTTGATTGATGGCTTCCTGGGATAAAGCCCGACAAACTTTGAGGATGAAAATGACATTGACCTTCTTTCAAGGTCACAGGGGTCAAATGTGTCAGACACTTCAAACGACTTCTTCTGAAGAACTGAAAGGTATAGAATCTTAATATTTGGCAGGTGGCTTCATGGGAAAGAGCCAAACAAATTTTGTGAATGATAATGACCTTGACTTACTTTCAAGGTCACAGCAATCATATATGTCAAATAGTTTAAACTACTTCTTCTGAAGAATTAAAAGGCATACAATTATAATATATAATATAGTAGCTTTAAGGAATAGAGCTAACCAATTGGAAAAGGAAAATGACATTGACCTACTTACAAGGTCACAGGGAAAATATGTCAAGCAACTTCTGAAGAAGAATCAAAAAGCATAGAATCTTATAATAATATTTTGCTGGTAGTTTTAACAGATGGAGCCAACAAAGTTTGCGAGGGAAATATTTTTAGTGCAATATAATATTTAATGAGAATATTTTGCTATGACTGCTTAAATATTCAGGTGAGCGATACAGGCCCTCTTGGGCCTCTTGTTTTAATTTGGTGTTCAACACAATGCGGCTACCCTACTTTCAAACCGTGAATGTGGCCTGTTTCCAAAATGAGTCACTACTTACGTCCATTTTTCAACTTCTTAAAGTGTTCACCGTCGTGGTCATAGGTGTACTCAGATGAAATAGACTCTTCCGGTAGCAATAGGTAATCAAACGTGTGACGGTTCCAATACTGGTATACATCGTGTAGTTCATTTTCAGGTCACTTTAGGGTACCACGTGTTTGTCCTATAAATATCAAGGTCACGAAATAAGTTCAAAGGTGTCAAATGTTTAATTCGTTTCTGAAATGGTACACCTTATCGACGATTTCAAAGGTCATACATGCTTCCATAATGAGATGAACGAACTAACACGTAGATAACGAAAATGTGTGACCTTGAGCTCGAATAGGTCTCTCTTATATAAGTTACTAGGCAATGTGTCAGACAGTATGCGTGTACCAATGTCACGTGTCGGAAAAAAAACAGTTTCTAATGTACATTTGTTATGTATCGGACAATACGTGTGTACGAAGGTCACAGTTCAGTTGAACGTGTGTACTTTTTTTCAAATCTCCAACAGTATACGTATGGGTCAAGTATCGGACGGAACGTGTGTATCAAGGTCACGTATCAAACGGTACGTGTGTGTCAGGGTCACGTATCGGACGGTACATGTGTATCAAGGTCGCGTATCGGACGGTACGTGTGTATCAAGTTCCCGTATCGGACTGTACGTGTGTATAAGGATCACGTATCGGACGGTACGTGTGTATCAAGTTCACGTATCGGACTGTACGTTTGTATAAGGATCACGTATCGGACGGTACGTGTATATCGAGGTCACGTATCGGACGGTATGTGTGTATCATGGTCACGTATCGAACGGTACGTGTACAAGGTCACGTATCGGTCAGTACATGTGTATCAAGGTCACGTCTCATACAGTATGTGTGTATCAAGATCACTTTTCGAACGGTACGTGTGTATAAACGTCACGTATCGAACGGTACGTGTGTATCAAGGTCACGTATCGAACGGTACGTGTGTATCAAGGTCACGTATCGGACGGTATGTGTGTATCAAGGTCACGTATCGAACGGTACGTGTGTATCAAGGTCACGTATCGAACGGTACGTGTGTATCAAGGTCACGTATCGGACGGTACGTGTGTATCCGGGTCACGTATCGGACGGTATGTGTGTATCAAGGTCACGTATCGGACGGTACGTGTATATCAAGGTCACTTCAAAATGTGTTTGTCACGCTTCAGTCGGTATTTGTATGTCAAGGCCATGCCTGGAGGCAGAACGTGTTTTTCAAGGTCACGTCTAGAGCAGCATATGTTTGTCAAGGCCAATTCTTTAAATATTAACAGTTCACCACAATATACTCAAATAGTTCAAATGCTCTTCAACAACACGTACCACCCCCTCTCCTATAAGAACTTCATTGAATTAGTTTTGGGAGTAGTTACACACGGATAAAAGTCCTGGTTCACCTATGAAGAAATCAGTGTATGCCACATTCCAGTGGAGTAAATATTCACATCCGGATTCATAATAATTATATTAAAAAAACTACAGTACTTCATGGAAAAACAGAAAATGCTAATTTGGCGATGCTTTAAAATCCCCCAATCATACCCCATTTACTTCGTCTTTTTGTCATTATCAGATTACTCCTATATAATATTTAAAAATGTTGTTGAATCATTTAAACCCAACGGGGTTTGGTGCTTGCTTTTTGCATTTTGTTTTTAATTAAAAGGGGAGACACCCACCCGATACGAAAAAATGCCCCTGAAACGTTACATGAAACATTTGTGTGGGAGACCCCAAAATCCCACTTCCATGAAGGGAATATTCCTGCTGTTCCATCCTCCTTCAAAACGCTATTTAAGGGAATGCCACAGTTTTAGAAGTCATTAACGAATGAGGGTCCCGCTCACTGGTTGTACATAATGTTAACCTCAATCCTGCATGAGTCACCGACAGTCTTATCTTGTCCATATCTATATTATAGAACGTTCATTTCACAGGGACTCGCTGTTTTTATTTAGTAACTATTTTGGCGCCATTAAAAGCGTTATGATAACAGAGAATGAAATAGATATTTAAAAAAACGATAATTTGGTAATAGCATGGTATATGTAAATAATAGTCCAGTGGCGTGTCTAGGTGGTTATTGTGTTCTAACTCCTGGAACAATTCTTTCTACAAACCGTGCCCCTGTGTTTCATTGATAATTTAAATATAGATATAGGAACATTGTCCCATTGATAGATAAATAATCGTAAGCTTCAGACGGGGTTGTTAATTACTAGATATGTATACAACTGTAGGTGTATTGGTCAGTTTGGCCGTAGTGCTGACCACTGTATCGGCTTGGTGGAAGCCTCATCAACACACGACCTGGCAATGGCAGCTCGAGAATGACGACGGCCATTTGGTAAAGACATACGCCGTTGACATGTATGACATCGACCTGTTCGATACGAGCGAAAGCGACATCCAGTACCTTAAACAGTAAGTTTAACCTGAGCGCCAACCAAATCCGAGAGTCCCCAAAAAGTAAATTTGACATGAGCGTCAGCGACATTCAGTACCTAAAACAGCAAGTTTAACCTGAGCGCCAAGCACATCCGGGAGACCCCAATATTTATATTCTGACGTATGTAAGTACACTACAAACGCCAGAGAAATTCGGATCTCAAATTAGATGTCATTTCCTATAGTTTTTCTTTGAAATCATGCATTTTGAAATTGATTTATATTTAACTTTGACTTTCACTGACATTCAGAGTATTAATAGGACACAAACTCCTCCTCCTCCTCCTCCACCACCACCATCACCACGTGATGTCGAAAACTTTTGTTTTCGGCATGACGAATAGAAAATACTCATCTGCGTGTTATCATATAAATTTGCACCATTGTGTTGGAAAACAATAAAAGATAATCAAAATCACAGTAAATAATATAACTTTTTCAAATGTATAATTACTTTTGTATGGTTAGCACATTAGCAAATATATCAATTTTAACAAATAGTTACTTTTCTATCTAATACAGTCACGGCCGGAAGGTAATCTGTTATTTCTCGGCTGGTTCCTACGAGGCATGGAGACCGGACCATCATGACTTCCCGTCAAGTGTTCTCGGACACGGGCTGGACGGGTGGGACGAGAGATGGCTGGACATCCGTACGGACGCTGTTCGAAACATAATGAAGAAGCGCCTAGATCTGGCGGTACAGAAGGGCTGTGACGGGGTAGAGCCAGACAATGTAGATGTTTACTCACTGTCTACGTCTAAACAAGGCTTCCACACTCACATCGACGAAGACGACCAACTCGACTTCAACAAGTTCATCGCGAAGGGTAAAAGTTTATCTTACTCTTCAAAGATCAACAGCAGTTGTAATGTATCCATATATTTGCCACAGTCTCTACCGTGAGTTGTCGTTCCTCTTATCTGGTCGCCAGTCATAATAATTAAAACTGGCCGCCATCGTTTCTATCTTATCATCGCTAGTCATAGTGATACCATCTTTTTGTCAATCAAGTGTACCCTCCTAGACAATGGTAGTGTATTATTTGTCTTTATATGTTAACTGGCTTTCCCTGGAAATGTCATGTCTTTTTCCTCTAAAGATGTTCGAATTTACGCTTTATCTGTTCTGGGTCACACGTAGTCTGCGTTTAGTGACAATGGGTACTAAATATACACCTCTATAACCGTTTGTCTACAGAGGCTCACGCCCGCGACCTGTCCGTGGGACTGAAGAATGACGTTGATCAGATCCACGAACTCCAGTCATACTTTGACTGGGCCCTAAACGAGGAGTGTATGGATTTCGACGAGTGTGACAAATACCAACCTTTCATTGACCATCACAAGGTAAATGTTCTTTCATACTAAAATCGACCGACTTTCGACAGTCGTCGGTTTTTGTAGACGATTAAATAAGAATTGAAGTTCTCATTGAAATTAAACAGAAAAAACGCCATTTGATGTCGATCTTATTGTAAGATGTACTTTGAAAGCTACGAGATTTCGCGTCTTTCTTGCAACGGGTTTAATTTGTCTGTGACCGCTGCCATCTGTACTTCCGGTGGTAGTGGATGGTGTGTTTACAACGATATGATCGTTCTAAATTGTACTTCCGATGATAGGATGTCCACACCATAATAATCGACGTTAGTTGTACTTCCGGTGATAGTGGATGGTGTGTTTACAACGATATGATCGTTCTAAGTTGTACTTCCGGTGATAGTGAATATAGGATGTCCCCACCAGTACAATCGACGTCAGTTGTACTTCCGTTGATAGTGAATATAGTGTGTCCACGACATTATAATCGACGTCACATGTACTTCCGGTGATAGGCCTAGTGGATAGTGTGTCAACGATATTATAATCGGCGTCATACAGATGTACTTTCGGTAAAATTGGATTGGATGTTTTGATCGCTATTAGTTGAGTGTAACTTGTAATTCTGGTGTCAGTGTAAAGCGTGTCCATGAAGTTGTTATCACTTCCGGTTTTACTTCTGGTGATAGTGGATGGTTTCACGAAAATATTTGTTGTTATCAGTTGAATTTCCGGTGAAAGTAAATGGTGTGGTCATGATTGGTTTAGGTCGTACTTACGAAGGCAGGGAATGATGTTGCTATTAGGTTATGGTTGATATCAGTTGTACTTCCGGTAGCAGTGGATAGTCGATGACAGACATTCCGGCGCTTTACCTTTTATGTTCAAATTTACAGCCTGTGTTCCACGTGCAGTACTCCACCAAAAGTCACGGGTCCAGCACGCGCAGCCACGTGTGCCACGCCTCCAGCAGTGACCGTCCCCACCAGTTCATGACCCTTATCAAAGAGAAACTAGTGACAGACTGGAGACTCGCCTGCTAAACTGGGACCAGTGAAATTTCGTCGTAGTTTGCCTTTTGCAAATTATGTATAACCATTTATATGGTCAATGTTTTGATATATACCAAATGTCTACTTTTGCCTTTCTGAATGTTTGTTGATATGAAAGAAAATCATATTCACAAAAAAAATGAAATAAGACGAATAAAGAGTTTGTGTCAGTGTCTCGGAGTGTTGTTTAGTTTCATTAGTATTAAATTTAATGGGTTAAACAATATTGGGTAATACCAGGATGTCTATGACAACAGCACAAGACAATGCAAAAGACCGCATTACAGTAGAGGGCATCCATTAATAATGATACTTCGCGTTACACCTACAAAACAATGGATGGTAACATCAGAAACTATGTACATTAAATAACATACCATTTTGGGCAAGAATGGTTACAGAATCAGAGAATAGTTAGGTAGAATATGATGCAGGAACACGAAGAACATTCGCTTTTTGAAACAGTTGAACACGATATCAAAATGAGTGATATATGTGATGGAGAGTATCAGAATATCTGCAACTGTAGAATGTATATTGAAAAGAAAAGGAGAAAAAATCTATCCCTAATCGGCGGTAAATGAGACCATGTGGAATGCTCCGTTTAGACAGATATATATCATACTATGCAGCTACAAGGAGGAATTATTGTTTTGTTTTTGTTTCCAATTTAACATCACTTATAACGTGCACACTATATTGTTAGTGACGTCACATATAGTGCGCTGAATATATGAAGACCAATGTCAGTATCAGAGACGTCACAGTTCTTAAATAATTAATTGATAGGTAGGTACGAAACGGTTGGAATACATACAATTTAATTCAACAGGTCAAAGGTTAAGGTTTAAATCTGTTTCCTTATCTTTGTTACCTATATATGGCCTCGTCACCAATTATACATGTGCTATATTTCACATCAGGCTGTTGTATCTGTAATCCGAGTCATGAACAATTATGATATATAGCAGAAACCACGAATTTCAGAAAAATAAAGCATAATTATAAGTAGTTTACTGAGTATATTGCGGAATTCCACTGCAATTCCAGTCTACAGGATCCGATCCAGGAGTTATAAAAGACGAGGTCCAAATTAGTATTTTATTTGTTTGGAGTCGAGTTACGCCGATACTTCTAAGAGGAGGCAAGCTTCGTCTTCGGGGAAAATGAACTCTAGAATCTGGTGGCATCTTAAACATTTATTGTATTGTTTGTTTGAATTAAACATTAATTAAGTTTCCAGTAAGGAAACGTCGTATACTCAAACCAGGTTCTGATGTGATATTCTGCAAAAGATGCCTCCAAAATTAAGGACCTTATCCCCTTGCATTAATGTACAAAAATACTTTGTCGTTGAAAAATATATATTTTAATTGAAATTTTAGTGTGAGAAGAGACTTATATACTTTATTAATAGTCTCATTAGGCCCAACTTAGAATATGCCACCTAGGTCAGGTCCCCTTTTCTGAAAAAGGACCAAATAGCTTTAGAAAATGTGCAGCGTAGAGCTACCAAAAGAATTCAATCTTTAAAACACCTTTCTTACAATTCAAGAATACTAAGACTAGGTTTACCTACACTGGAATACAGAAGAAAACGAAATGACCTAGTAGAAGTTTACAAAATAATAAACAACATCGACATTCTTGATAAAGATAAACTATTCACATTCACACTAACAACAACAAGGGGTAACAACAAATAACTATTCAAAAAACAGAGCAGGACCAGGGTCACTCAAAATGTTTTTAGCAGAAGAGTGGTGGATTCTTGGAATTCCCTTCCCAATTCAGTAGTAGAAGCCCCTTCTCTTAACTGTTTTAAATCTAGATTAAACATCTGTTGGAAAAATATACCGTCCAAGTTTTATGCTAGTTTTTATGCTACACAACCGGTTAACAGTATGTTACCAAACCAAGATGCGCCTATATTAGCAATTTAGCTAACAACGGTGTCGAAGAAGAGGTAAAGGTAAAGGTAAATATATATTGTAAACGTCTCTGGTGTGAGGAGCATAAAAGAAATCGACAATATAGTTACTGTGGTCATTCGAAGCGCTATTAAAATTCCGGATAATTCTCTCCGACAGTTACAGTGCTCCGTTCATTAGAAATAACTATTTTCTTTTTCGCGATGCATAAATATTTAAATCTGATCTAAATACGTACAAATGTTTGCAATATTAATCATAAATATTTAAAGATGTTCTGACGATACACTGAAATTAAAAGATGCAATAAAATAATGAAATAAATTCGCTGCGGGACTATAACACCAATAATCATGGCGCTTGCTGATGTTTGTGGATTCAAGTTCCAACCACTTCAGAACACATTACTGTGTGGAGACAGCTCGGACTCATCTCGTTTAGTAGATGATGCTTTGACAGCTTCTAACAACTTCACACTGCCGACCAATTTTGACGTAAGAATATGTATATCTGTTTGTTTTCGTGAATCGGCACGACTGCTGGACCTGTGTAATTCTGCTGTCTCATTCCGGCTGGAATGAGACAGCAGAAGTCCAGCCTTGTAGCACAGGGGCTCGGTTTCGGAATACTTTCGATTAATAATAAACACATTCTAAAACCTTATACCAATTGAGGGTGTCGAGGTATAAAAAACGAACCCCTGTGCCTTGTAGGCCCAATGAAAAATCTCTTTTCACAAGGCCATCGGCAGAGACAATTTTAGATGTCCCATCTTTTACTTGTACTGCATACAGATACACTCTTTCATGTTACCGGTCACCGTTAAAAGCGTCTTCAACCGACATCAAGCGTCTTCAAGTGACAACAAGCGTCGCCAGACAAAATATTTAAAAATACTGAATAAAGTAAGCGACATCAGAAGATATGTTGTTAATATGACTATAATACACCTCTGTACCAAATTTCAATTGGATATTTGACAAATTGACCGAGTTATGATGAATTGAATTTTTACGATCGGCGGCATGGCACATGTGTGTATTCCCCTGTAAGTTAAGAAAGCGTCGCCAGACAATATCTTTAAACATTCTTACTAAAGTAAGCGACATCAGAGGATATGTTATTAATAAGACTTTTATTTATATAGCCTATACTCCAAATTTCATCGAGATATATGAACAAATGATTTTTAAGATCGGCGGCGTTGAACTCTGCAGATCGTGAAGCGTCTTCAGACTTTACCGCCAAAAAAGCCGTTGAAGTGAGCGACATCAGAAGATATGTTTTTCATAAGGCTATAACACGCATTTAAGGAGGACCCAATGTTACAGATGGTGTTGTGGCACTCTTGGTGGTGTCGTGGAGTTTGAACCTATGGTGTTGTGATGTAATAAGGGGGAAGTGGGGCTGGTAGCTTTTTTTTTTATTGTACTTAGGATCATGGTCGCCTTTTAATTTGTAATGATTTGACAAGCCTCACTCTGGCCTGTCTATAGCTAGCTGCTCAGTACCATCAGATCTGAAGTCAAGATCCTAGCGGTAATAATCCTGCATTTGGGTAACAGAAACCCATTTGGGTAACAGATACCCATTTGAGTAACAATGTGAAGAAATTGTACATATGCAGTTTATGCATTTTAACTATTGAACTTTAAAGAAAACATATATATATATAAAGGGGAAATATTTTGAAGAAAATACACTATTTTCTTGTTGAAATAGGGGAATTTTGAATCACACAGGGGGAATTTCAAAGACCAGGTGAATTCTCTTCTGTAGGGGAAACTATCCATTAAATGGTAGTAAATCAAGTCTAGATTCTGATTGATCCCTGTCTCTCTATCCTTTTTACTTGCCAGTACATTTGGCCACTGTCAGGGGGAGAAAAAGTTTACAGGACGACGTTATATATACATGTAACAGGAGATAAAAAAATGCACAGCCAGACTGGGGTTGATCGTTCATTCCTCCTTTTTCTAAGTCTTCTTCCCGAAGACACAACTATTTACAACCCATGTTCAGGTATCCCCTTTCCAGGTGTTCACCCAGTGCTTGAAACAAATGTTGGTCACATGCACCGCTGTAACAGGAGATAGAGAAATGCACAGCCAGAACGGGGTTCGAACCCAAGATCATCCTGACTCTAGATGCTCTACCAATTGAGCTACCTGGTCGCTGACGGTTGACTCAGTTCAGTCCCGCTACACATGTAGTGCACACATATACCACACGTATTTGTTTTCTTTACTATTATGTTTCACATTTAGATGTCTGCAAAATATCACATTAGTGATTGACAGATGTAGTTGTAATGCAATGTAGCAGGCACTCTCAGCCATTGGCTTCAACAATCAGAAAATCCCTGCTGCTGCAAGGCATATGTATTCCATACCTTGTAATTAAATATTGTATAATACATAAACTGTAGACCTTTTCTAATCTTTAGTTGACAAACTTGAGTTGTTGAGATTGACTGGTTTAATATTTTCATAATTTACCCAATCCAGATCTGCTATTTGTGTACATTATAATTATACCAGCTAAAAGTAATGAAGTGTTGCTACTGTGTTGCCTTGACTAGAAGGAATTTCTCTCTAACTGTTTGAATCCTGGTAGAGAGTCTAAATAATCCAAATTAACACATATCTATAATTAAACATGGATTTATCAGGATTTATCTGTATGTTTAATTTTGATATCATGTACAAAGTCACTTCTAATTATTCAATGCTAATAAAGGAAATATGTAATGTTTGATTTACAAACATACTTCATTATAGATCTTTTGTGATACTTGCTTTCAAATAATGAGAAGGATTATAAGTACCCAGTGTGAAAAAGTGAAAAATTCTACTCAAAAGAAAGACAACTTGACAAACTTGTGGTTCTGCATAGCTAACATTTCTTTGATTAATTTTCAGCCGGTTGAAAACTTGAGAGCTTTTACTGATCCAAAAAGTGATGTAAAAATCCAATTCCATCATGGAACCACTACCCTTGCATTCAAATTCCAACATGGTGTCATTGTGGCTGTGGATTCACGAGCTACTGCGGGTTCCTATATCGGTAAGTAACTGACATTATATCCCTGTCTGTGCTCGCTACATCCTCCATCCTCCATACTCCAGGAGTTTCGCTCTCTGCACCCCTGGAACATGTCATAGCAAAACCAAAGGCTCAGTGTGTGCCACCTTGTTAATGAGACAAAAAGACTAGTTTGATCCTTTGATGTACATCAAAAGATTCTCGCGGTCCCGTTAGGGTAAAATTGACTGGCTTGAAATCGGTGTCGCTCTTCTGTAATCTTCAAAGGACAGGTATTAGCCTTGCGATTATTCAGTGCTTTTTTACCTGACTCCAATGAAATAGCCTGTGTGCCTTTCGATTTTGCTATGACATATATTCCAGAGTGCAGAGAGCGAAAGTAAGCACAACTCCTGGAGTATCAAGGATGTGCTCATAGGGGTTGTATGGCATGTGTTATACTGCTAGGTCATATCGCAGACTGACTTGTATCCATCCAGTAATTCTCATGAGAAGTGTCTTGTTGTCCTATGAGTGAAATGAACTTGTCGAAAATTATAGTCATTGTCGACTATGTGATTGCTAATCATCAGAATAGTGTTATTGAACTTTTCTCTTTGCAGCATCCCAGACAGTGAAGAAGGTGATTGAAATCAATCCATACCTGCTGGGAACTATGGCTGGGGGTGCTGCTGACTGTTCCTACTGGGAGAGGTACCTCGCCAAACAGTGCAGGTACACACAGTGTTATATAATGCTCCAGTTTCCCCTACCTAATAATCACACGTAGCATCTTAAAACTTGGCTACATTTTAAGTTAGAACCCAATTTCAGTCAAGCATGTATAAAGTTTTGAACATTAAGTATAAGAAATAAACAGAAGCCAGAAAACCATTCAGGTTCACCAATAGGTGAATGTTTCATGGTGAACTTTGTTTATGTTACTGAGTATTATTGTTTACTGTGGTTATATGGTTGATGGATTTAAAACAAATGATCAGGTGTTTTTTTTTTAAAGTTTTTGAATTTTCTATTTTAGTCAGGTTATTGGGTGATAAATAAAGACCTTTTATTTATGATGTACATAATAAATAATTAAATAAAAAATAGAGTACTCTGCATTCTTGCATACCGACAGTGAGGAGCGATTATAAAATGTATTCAATGATTGTATTTCAGAATCTACGAACTCAGAAACAAAGAAAGAATTTCCGTTGCAGCAGCATCCAAAATGTTGGCAAATATTGTATACAATTACAAGGGAATGGGATTATCTATGGTAAGTCTATACACTATAACATTGGAATGGGGTTGTTTATGGTAAATCAACATGGCCTTGTGTAGTTCCATAGTACCTGGTGATCAGATTGTTCATGGGTAAATTGATGATACGACCTTGTATACAATTGTGCCCTTTATGTATGGATGTGAACATTTAAATACCTGTTACACAAATGTATTCGTAAAAGTTTTAGAGGATTAGATTTAACGCAATATTTCAATGAAATAAGAGTTATTGGTGTATGAGAAGATCCTAAAAACTTTGGTGCAAGTTTTCTTAAATTATAAGTTAAAAGTTATAAGAAAAATACAAATTAATAGTATAAATAGCAACATGTGACATTGTTAATGATCTCGAGATCCCAGAGATAACAACGCTACTTATGATTGATTTGTTCCTTTCCAGGGCACAATGATCTGTGGCTGGGACAAGAAGGTAAGTCAAGTGTACCCTGGACACTGAAATTTAGGTAGAAGATTACTTGGATGTTGGTGCAGATATTGTCTGGTGATGTTTTGTAGAAAAAGAAAATATTAGATGATACTTTTGTCAGTGTTGTGCTTTCCACTTCTGTTAAACAGAATTTATGGTAATACATGTACAACCACAAACAATTGTGTTGAGTCTCGTCTAGTTATCAGGCCCACTGTAGTAGTGGTACATGCAGAGACAAATGCAAGAGATACATGCTATGTATTGGCTGGCTATGATTTGCAATGGACTCAGATTTTCTGTAATTCCTTCACAGTTTTAAGTCAAGATTTTTGTTTCTTTCAGTTAATGCAAATCTTTTTAATTTGACATTTGAGGAAATAAATCTATGAATATAAAATTGGAGCATCCTTCAAGTTAAACATCTTCACGAAACTGAGAACATATAAATTATTAGAATATTTGTGTTATATATATATATGTATGTACTTATGTATCAACTAAAACATTTGTTGACAGGGCCCAGGGTTGTACTACGTAGACAGTGATGGGACCAGACTGACAAACAACATTTTCTCCGTTGGCTCTGGCGCAACTTACGCCTACGGTGTGATAGACTCTGGCTATGCCTGGGACCTAACCGTGCCGGAGGCCATAGACCTGGGTCGTCGAGCAATCTACCACGCCACTCACCGTGATGCCTACAGTGGAGGAGTGGTCAACTGTAAGTCAGCTCGCTTTTAATACATACATACATGCTTCACGTTTTAGCCCACACCATCATCAGATGGTAAGCTATTCAAATCACCTTGCATCCGTGGTCTGTTGTCCGTCTGTCCTTAAACAATTCTTATTAGCGCTATTTCTCAGAAAGTGCTGGAGGGATCTTTCTCAAATTTCACATGAAGGTTCCCCATGATCCCTAGTTATGCATATCGTTTTTTGGGACTGATTAAAAAACCAAAATGGCAGACAGGCAGCCATCCTGAATTTGAAAGTTAAAAGTTTTTTAGCACTATTTCTCAGAATGTACTGGAGGAAACTCATCAGATGGTGACAGCAAGCCATCTTGAATTTGAGAATGAAAGTTTGTTGGCGCTATTTCTCATAAAGTATTAGAGGGATATTTATCAGATTTCACATATGGGTTCACCATCATCCTTAGTTCACAAAACCCAACCCTTGTTTGACATATTTTGTCTATCCTCTATATTGATATGCTGTCTGCGTATGATAGTAGCACTGAAGTATTACAGTCTTGCTTTGGTTAATTACTTCATATATGTTACCATTCTGCCACATGTGAAAACAGTCAAACTAACCTACAAAGCTGCTTTAGCCCTATAAAGCAAGGCCAAGGAAAGGCCCTAAATCTGAGAAATTCCATGTTCAAAGATCATATCAAAGTTTTATGTAAAATAGTTGGTGATATAGAGGAAACAGTTGTAGTAGAATACTTTGTACCTTTGCTGTGAATACTGTTACATTGTATGTAAATTTTGTACATTTTGAAGTACTGACTGCAATGATTCTGGAATTTTATTTTTTTACTTGTCTGAGTGGTTTAATATATTCATTAACATAGTCTGTAATTACTTATTCGTGTATTTTTCAGTGTATCATATGAAGGAGACTGGCTGGGAGTTTATATCACAGACAGACACAGCAGAAATTCACTACAAGTTCCAGGAGGAGAAGAAGCAGTCCCGGCGATGACCTTCCTCTATGTTATCGTAGTCGTGTAATCTTCTCAGTGATGGAAGCCTCCAGAGGGACAGTTTCAAGTGTTCTATCAATGTGTGACATTCATCTTGAGACAGTGATAGTCATCATCTATTTAAAAGTCTGCCATATGCTATTGATAATGATAAAGGTTTTGACAGACTTGTTCACGTTTTCACAGTTGACATTGTCATTCAAGTATTCATCTCACAGAGCTACAGTGCTGCTCTGTTGACTTATTATAAAGTGCTATAAGGACGATTTTGTTGTTGTAGGATGCCAATCTGTGTCATGTATCACATGTCAGACTTAACAGAGTCTGGTAACTTACGAAATAAAATTACATTTAGTATCAAAACAAAACTTTTTTTTTATAATTCTATATAGTTAACATTAAATGTTATTGATATAAGTTACTGAAACGAAGGTCTATTAATACCATGATCAATATTCTTTCAACTTTCTGTTCATTTATGTTTTCAATACATTAATATTAGGGAGATTTGACAGGTATGGAAAGTGTGTGCATGCATGTAAATACAGCTGCTGTATGTTCCATAGGTCAACAGTCAATCGGTACAGTTAAGTAAGTTGTTCATGATCCTTTAAAAAGTTTTATCTTTGGAAAAAAATAAAAAAATATATACTAAAACAGTACAGAAAATGAACAAACTACTCGATATTTAGAAACGATTTTATTACACAAACAAGAAATTGCACATACTCCCATCTATAACAAAGTGTATTCAGTATATATATATATATCAGTGAATATATTGTTTTATATTTAACAAATTTAGTGTTGTTAGTATCAGTAGATGTTTGAATTCAAACAGCTGAACATAAAATTGTTTTGTTTCCCTGTGCCTGATATTAAGAGATTTTAAAAGATGATATCCCACTAATTTTCAGCAATATTTCTACTGTTGAAAATATTGCATTTCAATTTCTACTTCATTGGAATCACTAAAACTTAGAAATGTTTCCTTTTTCAATTGTCAATCTAATTTAGTAGGTTATCCATGGCAATGTAAGCATGCCTAAAAATTGGAATGATCACACTTCGACAATGGATTTTCAGTGGAATATTTCAGTACTTTTTTCAGTACTTTATAGTACCAGTACTTAAAATATGTTCAAAGAACATATCGGGATTGAATCTATTGTGGTTAAGTTAGTTAGCTATCACCAAACAAGCCTAACCATAGTAATATTTAGTCCTGACATGCTTAATTATCCAGTGTTTCAGAAGTTTTAACTTTCCATAAACACCAGCCGTGATAAAAAATCGAACACTGAAGTACCGGAATAAAAAAAGTTTTGCACTGAACACAAGTCCATTACATAAAGTGCTAGCTGTTGTATTTCCAACTGTCACACTATTCAGGTGATACATTCAAACTTGCCAACTTTTTGAAATTTCCATTGGGGAGATTATGCATGCTCAGAATTAAAAGCATAAATAAAATGTGTGTATGTACACCCTAGGGAAATAACAACACTTTTAAATGGCATCTTTTGAGCTGTTCTTTCAGATGAAATCATTAGATGTTAGAATATAGGAATAGTTTAGCAAATTCACTGGTTGAAAGTGCTCAATTTTAGGGTCCAAAATCGGGAGTCTCCTTCCTAAATTGGGAGAGTTTGCAAGTATGTACATTTGATAATATAAAGGTTACATGCATCAATTTTCTTTTATTGTACAACAAATTACATGTAACTTAAACATATCACAGAAATTTTCATTTCATTTCAGAATATTTAATTGTATAGGTCTTGCATACAAAAGGAATTGGGCAACAGGCAAATCCTATACATATGTAGTTACAACCTATCGCATAAATGTCGAAGTTAACTTGTCAAGTATCCACACGGACAATCAAATGGCCCTGGTACAGTTCATATAAAAATGATGAGATTGCCCTCTGTATTTATTTAGACATTTTAAATTCATAACAAGCATGATAATATAATGCTTCAATATATTAAATATGGACAGGAAGGCATCCTTAAATATATCGGACCCCAGTTTAATGTATGCTTCTTAACTTGTGAAATGTCCTTAACTTCAGCAAAGCATTTCTGTACTTCAATATCGCTTTTCTAAGGAAAACATTTAAGTTGAGGAATACTTAATTTGAGCGTATGTGAAACTGATGCCAATAGTTACCGGTAAGTGGAGACTTGTACTACTACTATTTATATATATATATACTTTTATAAGTAATTCCGAATAATATATATGATGTACATTACTGTAACAACAAATTTTACAGATTAAACTTAAGATCTGAAAATCACAGTTATATGTAATATAGCATAATAAATTTGACAAATGACCACAAACTGATGTGTTTATACTGTGGTACAAGCACTGTGCAATAGTGCTTACCAGTACACCTTAGTACAACCACTGTGCAATAGTGCTTACCAGTACACCTTAGTACAACCACTGTGCATTAGTGCTTACCAGTACACCTTAGTACAACCACTGTGCAAAAGTGTTGACCAGTACACCTTAGTACAGCCACAGTACGGATGTGTCTATCAGATCAGTACACTGGAGTACAACCCACTGTACAAGGCACCCTTGTATAGTGGTTGTATCACAGTACACTGATTGGCACTTTGTGCCGTGTTACTAGTGCACTGTAGTGCACTGTAGTGCAATGGATAAAAAAATGTTCAAAATTGTAGGCAGCTAGCCAGGGTTGTTTTTATCTCCATAGAGCCCAGACATTTAGACTTGTGCACAGCGTAACCAGAATTGCATCTGTCGCATTTGTATAAGTATTTATGGATAAGGAAGATATTGTCAATTTCAATGGAAAACAAGACACTTGACCCCTTTGCATTGGTGTTTCCCTCGTCTTTGTGTCTCTTTTGGAGCAAAATTTATCTTTATGCCTAGGTCATACATAATACAACATTGAAGCTGTTACATAAAGAAAAGTTTTCTCCCAAATTGTCTCATAAAGCTTCTCTTTGAGCCCGATAGCTTTAACAGCTGAACCAGCTGTGATACATTTGTCCTACTGATGTTGTACCAGCCAGTTTTTGAGAATTCGATGGACGGATTCAGCTCAGTTGAACTGTAGATCTAAACATTTTAAAGTATTATGCATATATGTCCTTGTCTTCTCGACTCCTCCTCGACCAGTTCTTCTTCATCATCCAAAAACTCATCATCTGATGACAAGTCTATATCATCATCATCATCATCATCATCATCATCTATCACATATCTAGATTCCACTTTATCATATCGAGTCTCAGACCTGTCTGGTTCAACAATGTAATCACCATCATTGCAATACTCCAATTCAAAGTCAGAAAATGTCATGCGACTGGAATTTGCAGATGAATCAAATTTGTTTTCAGAAACATTGAAGAATTTGGCAGTCTGAGAATCGGTTGCTGGCTTTGACTGTAAGACTAGATGCTGATCAGCTTGGCCTTGGTCTTTGATTGCAAACATTTTTCTGTTTTGAGTCGAGGTTTTTTCTAGGATGGCAGCAGACACTTGGCGGCGGCCATCTGATTGATTTAGTTTGCGGGTCAGGCTGTTGGAAGCATGTTGAGCATGGCCACAGTTCCTGATGTATCCAATGATTGGGATAGGCAAGGGAGATGACCAGGGGTCTGGCTCAGGCTGGTCAAAATCCTGTAAAAATCAGTTGAGACATAATATGAGAGAGATGGAACAGAGGAGGGAAGAAAAAAAGGTTGGCATTATATGATATGCTTGAGGACAGATAAGAATTTGCCAGTGTAAAGTTCATAAGGTGGAGAGTCATTATTATCAATCTGGAATATTTCATTTGATAATGAATCTCAATGGTGAACAGATAAGTTTTCTGATTCTATCAGTATGTATAGGTAGTCGTGTACCTGGATCAGCTGATAATGTAGTAGGTCCCTCATCTCCGCCAGCTCACGACGATCCTTGAAGGCTAAAGGTGAACGGCCATCCTGAGGTAACAAACAACTCAAATGAAAATATCAAACATAAATGGGGATCAAGTGACCATGGCAGTACGGTAACAATGATCTACAAATAATGACAATAAAATTTATCAGATTTGACTTCAAAATACTTGTTCTAAAGAGACTATCTCTCCAATAAGAGACCACCTTTCAGTCTTTCCTTGGGTGGTCCTTTTATACAGACTTGACTGTGTATCATAGGTAAGCAAACAAGATGACAGCACCTCTGATTAATTATCCACATTATATAGCCACCACAGGTTTGATCAGAGTTGTTCTGTAGAACTTCGTTTGTCTATGGTCTAAACACATTGATTTGAAAAAAAAGAGTAAGCATTAGTGGCTGAAAATATCAAACAAGATCTGGTTGGCAGCAGGAGTAAAAGATTTGACTATGATCATAATACGAGGAAATGAAAGACAGGATGTAGATTGTACAGAGTTGTCTTACTGTACCTTGTCCATAGAGAAGTCGGAGGCTCCATGGTCAACCAGGATGTCCACTATGGCTTTATTGTCCTCAACTGCATAGGCATAGTGTAGGGCTGTCCTGAAAAACTGACCAATCAAACATAATCATAGTGTAGGGCTGTCCTGAAAAACTGACCAAACAAACATAGGCATAGTGTAGGGCCGTCCTAAAAAAACTGACCAAACAAACATAGGCATAGTGTAGGGCCGTCCTGAAAAACTGACCAAACAAACATAGGCATAGTGAAGGGCCGTCCTAAAAAAACTGACCAAACAAAACAAGGCAAAGTGTAGGGCCGTCCTGAAAAACTGACCAAACAAACATAGGCATAGTGAAGGGCCGTCCTGAAAAACTGACCAACCAAACCTAGGCATAGTGTTGGGCCGTCCTGAAAAACTGACCAACCAAACATAGGCATAGTGTAGGGCCGTCCTGAAAAACTGACCAAACAAACATAGGCATAGTGTAGGACTGTCCTGAAAAACTGACCAAACAAACATAATCATAGTGTAGGGCCGTCCTGAAAAACTGACAAAAAAAGTAAGAACCAAAATGTCATGTGTGTTATTTATAAATATTACACAACGTATACATCATGAATGTTTCAGTTAAGGAATAGTTGTTTGGACAAGACTTTATCGAAGGACAGATAGACAAGCTGAATTCAATGTACCCAAACTTAATTTTGCTTAGAGTATAACTATATATAATGAACACTGATCCCTAACAGTGGTATTATGACATACCTGGTCCCTGACCGAGTCCAGACGACAGCCCTGCTTGTAGACAAGAGTTTCTGCAAGCAACTGTGTAAGCTCAGCATTCCTTCTCAAAACAACCTTGTGTAGTGCTGGCTGACCTTCTCCCTGTCGGTGAACAAGGTTTTAGTTAAACATTTACATAGGTGTTTCATCTGTTAACAGTAGCTTTACAAGACTGTGTGTCAGAAATAACTAAGTACTGTCTCTCACTGTCTTAACACCCCTGTAGAGTCACACTTAGTCATTATCACAACTGTGGGCGACTGTCACACAAACACATTAACATAAATGTGGGCAGCTGTTACACTAGCTTGTTAAAACTGTGGGCGACTGTCACACTGACTTGTTAACACAACTATGGGTGGCTGTAACACTTACTTTTTAACACAACTGTGGGTGGCTGTTACACTAACTTGTTAACACAACTGTGGGCGACTGTTACACTAACTTGTTAACACAACTGTTGGAGACTGTCACACTAACACATTAACATAAATGTGGGCGGCTGTTACCCAAGCTTGTTAAAACTGTGGGCGACTGTCACACTGACTTGTTAACACAACTATGGGTGATTGTTACACTGACTTGTTAACACAACTGTGGGCGACTGTCACACTAACTTGTTAACACAACTGTTGGTGACTGTCACACTAACACATTAACATAAATGTGGGCGGCTGTTACACTAGCTTGTTAAAACTGTGGGCGACTGTCACACTGACTTGTTAACACAACTATGGGTGACTTTTACACTGACTTGTTAACACAACTGTGGGCGACTGTTACACTGACTTGTTAACACAACTGTGGGCTACTGTTACACTAACTTGTTAACACAACTGTTGGTGACTGTCACACTAACTTGTTAACACGATTGTGAGTGACTGTCACACTAATTTGTTAACCCAACTATGGGCGACTGTTACACTAACTTGTTAACACAACTGTGGGTGATTGTCACACTAACTTGTTAACACAACTGAAGATGACTGTGGGCGACTGTCACACAAACACATTAACATAAATGTGGGCAGCTGTTACACTAGCTTGTTAAAACTGTGGGCGACTGTCACACTGACTTGTTAACACAACTATGGGTGATTGTTACACTGACTTGTTAACACAACTGTGGGCGACTGTTACACTAACTTGTTAACACAACTGTTGGTGACTGTCACACTAACACATTAACATAAATGTGGGCGGCTGTTACACAAGCTTGTTAAAACTGTGGGCGACTGTCACACTGACTAGTTAACACAACTATGGGTGACTGTTACACTGACTTGTTAACACAACTGTGGGCGACTGTCACACTAACTTGTTAACACAACTGTTGGTGACTGTCACACTAACTTGTTAACACGATTGTGAGTGACTGTCACACTAATTTGTTAACACAACTATGGGCGACTGTTACACTAACTTGTTAACACAACTGTGGGTGATTGTCACACTAACTTGTTAACACAACTGAAGACGACTGTTACACTAACTTGTTAACATAACTGTAGACAACTTTTACACTAACTTGTTAACACAACTGTGAGTGACTGTTTCACTAACTTGTTAACACAACTGTGGGCGACTGTTTCACTAACTTGTTAACACAACTGTGGGCGACTGTCACACTAACTTGTTAACACAACTGTGGGTGACTGTCACACTAACTTGTTAACACAACTGTGGGCGACTGTTACACTAATTTGTTAACACAACTGTGGGCGACTGTCACACTCGCTTGTTAACACAACTGTGGGCGACTGTTTCACTACCTTGTTAACACAACTGTGGGCGACTGTTACACTAATTTGTTAACACAACTGTGGGCGACTGTCACACTAACACATAAACATAAATGTGGGCGGCTGTTACACTAACTTGTTAAAACTGTGGGCGACTGTCACACTGACTTGTTAACACAACTATGGGGGACTGTTACACTAATTTGTTAACACAACTGTGGGCGACTGTCACACTGACTTGTTAACACAACTATGGGTGACTGTCACACTAACTTGTTAACACGATTGTGGGCGACTGTCACACTAATTTGTTAACACAACTATGGGCGACTGTTACACTAACTTGTTAACACAACTGTGGGCGATTGTCACACTAACTTGTTAACACAACTGAAGATGACTGTTACACTAACTTGTTAACATAACTGTAGACAACTTTTACACTAACTTGTTAACACAACTGTGAGTGACTGTTTCACTAACTTGTTAGCACAACTGTGGGCAACTGTTTCACTAACTTGTTAACACAACTGTGGGCGACTGTCACACTAACTCGTAAACATAACTGTGGGCGACTGTCACCCTAACTCGTAAACATACCTGTGGGCTACTGTCACCCTAACTCGTAAACATACCTGTGGGCGACTGTCACCCTAGCTCGTAAACATCCCTGTGGGGGCCTGTCACACTAACTCGTAAACATAACTGTGGGGGACTGTCACACTAACTTGTTAACACCACTATGGGTGGCTGTAACACTAACTTGTTAACACAACTGCGGGTGGCTGTTACACTAACTCATTAACACACCTGTGGGTGATTGTCACTTTAACTCATTAACATACCTGTGATCAACTGTCACTCTAACGCGTAAACATACCTGTGGGCGACTGTCACCCTAACTCGTAAACATACCTGTGGGGGACTGTCACACTAACTCGTAAACATAACTGTGGGCGACTGTCACACTAACTTGTTAACACAACTGTGGGCGATTGTCACACTAACTTGTTAACACAACTGTGAGTGACTGTTTCACTAACATGTTAACACAACTGTGGGCGACTGTTTCACTAACTTGTTAACACAACTGTGAGTGACTGTTTCACTAACATGTTAACACAACTGTGGGCGACTGTTTCACTAACTTGTTAACACAACTGTGGGTGGCTGTTACACTATCTCATTAACACACCTGTGGGTGATTGTCACTTTAACTCCTTAACATACCTGTGATCAACTGTCACTCTAAATCGTAAACATACCTGTGGGCGACTGTCACCCTAACTCGTAAACATACCTGTGGGCGACTGTCACACTAACTCGTAAACATAACTGTGGGCGACTGTCACACTAACTCGTAAACATACCTGTGGGCGACTGTCACACATGAACTCTTGGAAACTGTCACAACCAAAGTAGGTGACGTCATTGTGGACCTGTTCCTCATCCTCCAGTTCCAGGGCTTGGTGGAATTTACAGATGTGTCGCTGTAATCACCAGATAGATAATGACCCCAGAATTAACATATCATCTTAAACATTATGCATATATTTGACCCTTTAGAATTTACATAACCTATTCTTGCGTAGTTGGTCTCATCTGAAAGCTAGTAAAATTTATTTTCCAAACCTACCCGGTTTGACAAAATTGGTCCAAAAGTAATGATTTTGAAGACTGTTGAAATTCGTTCTTTTTTGCTAGTTAAAATGGGCATAGGTACCAAGTGTGTCACTGTAATCACCAGATAGATAATGACCCCAGAATTAACATGTCATCATAAGCATTATACATATATTTGACCCCAGAATTTACATATGTGATACTGTAAACACCAGATCTGTGACTGTTTATTTGATGCAATAACTTATGAATCAGCTAATTAACAGCATAGTGACATTTATAATATCTGTGAGATTGAAGCAAGAATTTAGAGAAGACAATTGTTGATGGCTTCAAGGATGGACCTACCTGGTACTGTGTGAGGGAAGAAGAAAGCAGTTCCTCCCTGACCTCACCGTGGTGGTTGTCATGGTTACCAACATCATCCAGTGATAGGATCTGGAGAGAGTAGCCGAGTATAATTACATTTCAAACCAGACAAATTTTTTTTCATTTAATGTACATGTATAAATTTACTTGGAAAGTTCAAATAGTTTTCCCATCAGAAAAATGGTAGCTACACTTGCTTAAAAATACTAAAACTGTAAGCCAAAAACTAAAATACCCTAATACATCACATATTATGTATGTGTGTGCCCTCCTTAAAAACAAAATGTGACATGTATGCTTAATAGGAAGGTATATCTCAAAATTAAGCCTACTTCAATGAAAACTTATGAGGGACAAAACTGTAATGCTCTAAGTACTAAAAGGGAAACAAGATTATTTGGTATGCAATACCTATGATGGTGGATAAAGACTTCCAAGTTTCAAACATCCTCGATACTCCAGAGGTTATGCTCACTTACACTCTCTGCACCCCTGGTATATGTCATAGCAAAACTGGAGGCATGTAACTAGCTATTTAGCCTAACGTAGCAAACCTGCCCAATCGCTAGGCTGATACCTGTCCTTTGAAGATTGCAGAGGAGCGACACCCGATTTAAAAGCCAGTCAATTTTACAGCTAAGCTGCTGCTTGAATCAAACACAAGGTGGCGCATACTGAGCCTTCTATTTAGTCACAAAATATTCTAGGGGTGCAGAGATTATATAGTGAGCATAACCCCTGAGTATTGAGGACAAGTTTCAGGGAAATATAATGGAAACTTAGAGACTAGTCCATGGATGGCCGGTGGGACAAATGAATGACAAGGTAACTACAACATTTATTATGTCCAGCACTACGATATACCAAATATTTGTACTGTAAGCGATAACAAAAGCATTATATTTCAATACCCGTATCAACAAACCAATCATTAGGTTGCCTTTGTCATCAAAACACAGAAGAATATCACAGAAATTAGCTTCAAAGACTGCATGGAATGTTTCCTGAAACTAGAATAAAAGAATTAGTCATCAAAACATTAGATGATATTGTGATGGGAGGACTATTTACCTTACTGACTGTTGGGATCGGGTAGTAGCTGTGAAGTGCCAGTAATTTCCTGTTTTTGTCATTGGACTTGTCTGTCCACCAGTTATACACAAACTGTTGATACAAATAGAAACTGTTATAAAAACAAGAGGCCCAGAGGGCCTGTATCGCTCACCAGAATAGTTAAGCAGTCATAGCAAAATAATCTCATTAAATATTATCCTGTACTACAAATATTTCACTCGCAAACTTTGTTGGCTCCATCTGTGGAAACTACCATTCAAATATTATTATATGATTCTATGCTTTTCGGTTCTTCTTAAGAAGTTGTTTGACATATTTGACCCATGTGACCTTATAAGGAGATCTAGGTTATTTTCATTTTTAAACTTTGTCAGGCACCATCCCAGGAAGCTACCAACTAAATTTTATAAAACTTGGCTGTAAGATTATTCAGAAGAAGTCGTTTATTTGTAGACATATTTGACCCCTGTGACCTTGTAAGTAGGTTAAGGTCACATTCTTCTTTTACACTTTGTCGGGCTCTATCAAAGGAAGCAACCAGCCAAATATGAAGATTCTATACCTTTCAGTTCTTCAGAATAAGTCATTTGAAGTGTTTGACACATTTGATTCCTGAGACCTTGGAAGTAGGTCAAGGTCATTTTCATTCTCAAACTTTGTTGAGCTCTATTCCAGGAAACCACCAGCCAACTATGAAGACTCTATACATTATTAGTTCTTCAGAAGAAGTCATTTGAAGTGTTTGACACATTTGACCCCCGAGACCTTGAAAGTTGGTCAAGGTCATTTTCATTCTCAAACTTTTTTCTTGCTCTATCCCAGGAAGCAATTTTGCGTCGTGTGCTGTTGTTAAAATTTTACCTCCTGTAAAGCTAGCTTTTCATGAGTAGGCACCCTTTCGGATTATGGCCAACATCATTTTATTCTCGAACCAAAAAAACTCCTTTTTTTTTTTTACAAATGTGAAGCTCACATAGCCCACTTCATCATGCTTATACCAATTTTAGTACAGTTTTATTTTTACATATCATTTTACAGGGGTTAGCCATTTAACAAAAATATCACCCATGGCCACAACCCTCTACTGTATACTGCTACCATTTGATTTTGTTAAAAACATCTACTGATTGCTAGTAATGTAAAACTCGTATACAATAAGTTCATTTGTGATGAAATGTATGTCAGGAAATTCTAATAAACCAACAAATTTCAAATACTATTTTAGCTAAAAATATTTAATCCCACAAACTTCCCATATTACTGCTTCTTGTGAAAATTCATTTACTAAGGAAATAAGAGGAGGGGGTTTAAACCCTACAAAAATAATCAGAATCAAATCTTAATTGCCAACCACAACATCCATGTACTTGCCAACTTTGTGTAAAAATTGCTCAATTTTAGGGTCCAAAATCGAGAGTCTCCCTCCTAAATAGGGAGAGTTGGCAAGTATGCCACAACTACCCAGAAGTACTGACCACATGTACAAAGCTTCATAAATATCAGTCAAAAAGGTAACTAGCAGTGCTGCAGGCAAAATCTGTCCACAGAGAGGAACAGATAGACACATTGATTTCAATACACCCCCTCCCCAAAATTTGTTGCCGGGGTATGATATATTTTACAAAAACTGAATATTTGCCATACCATATTGTCAAAGTAACAAGGTTATTATTCATGCTTCAGTATCAGAAGTAAAAGACTTGTGATTTTGGTACATTTTGATTATTATAAACAGTCAATGCTTAATCAAGTACAAATGTATGGTTTAAAAGAAACTTCCAAAATCTTGCGAGTCTTCATTTCTGGTCATGCAACAACAGCAAGTCTTTGGCACACAATTATGTCAGGTTTTATTTTGACTCTAAAATTTTGTAATTGATTTTCATGGCAGGCAAAATTTTCAAAAATTTCAAATTAGAATTTTCAATAATTATTTCAACGGTAACAAATGCCCATGAAAGAAGATTTGAAAAGTCTTTCATTATTTTATTTTATTTTTAGCTTATTCAAATTTTTGGCCTGCACAAATAACATAGGTGCTCAATTACACAAATTTTTACAACATGTTTTACAGCCTATTGTTCACCGAACTTGTATGACCTTGACCCCTCACCTTGTCAATGACCTCTACAACAGCACTGCATCCTTCTTTTTCTGCATACTCTCTAGCTGTTAGCCCACTCTCCTCCCTAGCGGTAACCATGGCAGCTGATGACACATCCAAGATGGCTGCCACAACCGATGAGTCTATATCACAGTCAACACAGTGGAATAGGATGTTTTTACCCTGAAAGCGTAATTTGAAATTAATAAAAAATCTATTTTTCACTAACACTCACACTGAAAATTAATGAACTTGTCCAGACAAAATGAAAACTGCTTTAGATACAAAGTGACTAATGACAGGAAATCCCAGATTCAGCAGGATCATCACACATGTACAGCACCACTTGATGGTGATAAAACTGTCCAAGGAAAGCTGATGATAATTGCCTTTCCAAAGACAAACAGACTGATCCCATATACTCATCCTTGTTAAATGTTATGAAGAGCAATCAGGAAAAACGGAAATTGTAATTTGTTCAGATTTTTAGCTCACCTTGTAGTGAAGAGTCTCCACGTGGACGGGAGTCTGTGGAATGAGTAGTTGGAGAGTGGACGCATGGACTTGTGGGTATTCCAACATCAGAGCAAACAGCAGGGGCAGGTCCGTCTACAAAAAACAAAGCAGCAGTCTGTTGCAAAAGGCCCATGATTCCTGTATCACTCAATCACTCAACGTTGCCAAATATACAAATACCTGGACCATATGTGCCTGTATTATTGTAAGAGTACTTATTTTAGCAGACATAAAATGTTAGCATATTAGCAAATTTTAGCAGATAAGCACATTGATGAATTGGCAGACTCGCAAGATATGCAATAAAAGCTATTTACAGAAAATATGTATATTTACAGTACATGTATTAGCTTTGGTGAACATAACTGGGAAACTGAATATCATTATCACTTTTGTTCAGTATTATAATGTGTACCTGAAAATTGAAGAATTGTATTTGTGAATACAGAAAAATATATTTTAGTAATGATGTATGTATGAGACATTGACCATCAGCCATACCTTGTCCGCCGTTGTTATGGTGCAGTGTACTCGTGCTCCCATCGATAACAGTAGCCTAACAATCTCTGTGTTGTTTTGGAGGGCAGCATAGTACAGTGGGGTCGTCCCTCCATCTCCCTGCAGTGGGAATAAGGTGTAGAGTTATAACTGAATTTTATTTTGTTCCACTGGAAATATAAAACAACACTACAGATAATTAGTGATGTATAGTCTATTCCTCTAATTGAGCTTAAGGGAAATACTCTCTATATCTAGTCAGAAGCAAGTGACCACATGGTTCACAACATAACATAACAAATCAGATTCTCTTCCCTTACAGAGGCATTTAAGCGAAAATGCTTGTAACCTGACCAGGTTATTAGACAGGGAGACCTAACAGCTTTACAGGTGATTGTCACTTAGCATCAGGATTCTGAACTGAATATATAAGTACCTAATTAAGTGCCGTCATGGTAAGAAACTGAAACAAAGGTAACCTTTTCTAATTGCCTATGCTAGGAGTCTACTATGGACTACAGGCTACATGTTCAATGCTGGACTTGCTTAGCAACTATATTTGGAAATTCCTTCCAGTTGAGTCAGTAACAAACCACTAAGATGTTCACTACTGTGACATACTCCCCCTCCTTGTGTATTTGTCTTTTTAATTTCTCTGTTTCATTTATAATGGGCACCAAAGTTTACCCAGATTTTTTTTTAAAACTAATATACATGTATTTGAAAAACAGAAAATGTTTCCTACCAAAATGTTAACATTTAATGACACAGAAATAGTGTTAGTAATTTAGACTTCTGCAGTTAGCTGTGTAACTACTGCATTACACAAGTGTAGAAAGGGAGATAACTCACCAACGTAGGAAGGGAGATAACTCACCATGTTTTTGAGGTTAACATTTATGGTCCTTTCCTTGCTCAGTAAGTTCTCCACATACTTTACATCACCAGCTAGTACTCCATGTGCTAGAGCCTTCAATGACATGGCAAATTATATAAGATTTATCAATAGCAGGTATATCAAGTCTTGGGGACTAACAATCAGAGATATCTGTTCGATTCTGAGATTGAAAAGAAAGATTTTCACTCAATGTCATTTCTACAATTTCAAGCTTAGAGTTCAACATTCAGGCAAAAATAATGAGAAAAAACACACACAATCATGTCCTAAATATTACACTTTTTAAAACGTCAAAAAATATTCATTCTCACACCATGCAGAATTTAAGATCAAGTAATCCAACATCAGACAAAAATTTAATTCACTCAGATAATAAAATTAACCTCTATATGCTAGATGGATTTTACATGTAACATCACTTTCTGTTATGATCTGAAGTGTTCAATGCATTATATTAATTCATTCATCCCTGAAGACACATTTGAACTCTTCCAATTCAAAAGTTGGAATAGTTCATTACGAAATTTCAGGGGTGAATGAGTAAAGATATTTAGAAAGTCTTACCATGGAGGTGTGGATTCCGCTGATAATTCCTATGATGTTTTCTGTTCCTACATCAAATGCAAGGTGCAGCAAGCTCTTACCTTCCTAAAATATTACAATGATAACCACTTACATATATAAATTAATTACAGCCAGCACTTGTCAATTTTTAATAAACCTAAAAAAATAATGCTATGAATTCAACCTATGATTCAATAATTCACCTGAGTAAAGGATTTTCCATGAGTTCTCTTACTCAGCTAGAAACAGGAACAAGTATGAGATCTTTTTTACTATCTGCATCACAATATGATCTAAACCAACACAAATTGTTTAAGGAACATCCAAGGGCCTTAACCACTCCTCTGGTTTCCTTTCCTTTTATTTTTGACATATTGAAACAGTGACCTTTGAAAATCGGAGGATCAAAACATTTTGTCTTCGATGTGACTGCATAACATTACACTTTTCTTGTGAGCATTAGAATTAAGATATATATATCATATGTTGTATATTGAAAAAAAAAATTGTTGTGTAATTACACTGAAAACAGGTTTAGCAGGTGAGAGATATTGCCAGTAATTTCTGTAACAGAGCTACTTCTCCTGCCCTTTTTGTGTAACTGACCTGTTCCACATCCACGCGGCACCACTGGTTGACAAGGAAACGCACTTGGTGTACTTCGTCAGCTGCAATAGCCCTCCAAATCCCAGGCTATAATTAATAATGAATTAATGCCAGCATAAACACAGGTAAACTTTAAATAACTGAAACGGCATATATCTTTTTAACATATGATTATCAACTTATCTGTTGTCTTTGAAATTCTTAAAAGAACATATATTTCTGTTTCTTAGAAAATTTCAAGCAGATATATTATCCAAAAAAATTGTGAAAATCAGAGAACAAAAATTTGCTGACGACATCTAGGAAGTTTCTGTATATCATAGTTATAGATAAACCAGAAGAAGCAATTTGATTCTAATTCATTCATCATAATTTTTCTATTCCATATATATACACATATATACACAGGTGCGAAGTCTAATCTAGTAGTAGTCAGACTTTCTGTCGACAAGGTTAAGGAAACCTGTATACATACCATATACCTAGCAAACAGCGCCTTGATTGACAGAGTGATATGGGGCTTCCTGGCTTCTTCATAGGCACTGGTATTGTTCTGGTTAGAGTAAAGATAATATGGTAGCAGCTTATGTTTGAGGCGACGAAATACATGAATGTGCTGTTTTATGTTTGGTCTGATGGGAGATATTCCGTCTTTGCGTATTGCAGAGTTATCTTCTCTTGTGATCAGGTATTGATTGTTACGTCATTGGTTTGTGTCGTTTTCTCAAAATTTGATGACGTTACTCTCACAAACAAGTGACGTAACAATCAAAACCTGCTCACAAGAGAAGATAACTCTGCAATGCGCAAAGACGGAATATTGTTTCATGCTGTCTTTGTATTGTTATTTTGATTATATAAGAAAATGAGACAAAAATTATCATTAAACGTATATCTAAACTGTACTTACATGACATGTATCAGGTTCAGTGAATACAGACAGTTAAACAAACAACAAAACATGGAAAACTTTTCTACATAATTTACCTCATTTCTAATGAAGACATCAGTATTGCATCTCAACATGGCTTCCACCACATCGGCCTCGACCAAATCACATGACTGCATATATCTCAGTAGAGGGGTGGAACCACTCTGTAGGAAATTATTCAAAATATTAATGAAAACACCAAACTGAAATGAATATTTTACAATTAAGATGTTTAGTGTATTACTGTATCACTCTGTACGAAATCATTCAAAATATTATTGAAAACACCAAACTGAAATGAATATTTAACAGTTAAGTTGTTAAGTATATTAGTACTGTACCCTTATGCTGTCTGGTAAAAGTATGATTGAGTGATGCTTTCTAAGTACCTTATCTGTGTGATTGACGGTGTAACCATAGTTACGGAGTATGTAGACGATCTGTGCAGCCTCCTTGTGAGATTTGGGTCGAAGACACAACGCATCCACAACATGATGATACAAGGCAGGGTACTGAAAGTTGAAATTTTATATACATCTCTAAAACAATGAACCTGTGAGCTGAACAAGAATTTAATAAGGAGGTGGAAAAGAAGGCTAAAAGATTAATAGAAAGTGGGAAGGAACTGATCTCCGGGGTGAAGGTGAAAGATGATGGAAGTTACAGGGGAAATGTCAGAGGTAGTGTGATGGAAGCTCAAGGGAAGTTAAAGGAGTGGTGAAAGAGATAGACATGCCAATCAGAATAGAAGGAGGCGGTAATTGATGTAGGCTCTAAAGAAAAATGGAGCTGGAGGGGTAAGAGAAACCCAAGGGTGAAAGGTTTGAGGTCAGTTAATATAATCTATAGGGAAAATGAAAGGAGTTGGGAACATCAGGGAGAAAGGGAACGTTTAGGGGTAATGTAGAATCTCCAGAAAGAAACGGAGCAAGAGGGGACTTGGGGTGTTGTGAACTCCAGGGAGATGTTATGGAAACTTGGGGGGAGGTCACAGAAGAATCGAGGTGTTAGGAACTCCATTAAGAAGTGGAAGATTTGAGGTAATGTCAAAACAAGGAAGGAGTTTTAGTGTTAGAAGCTCCATGGAGAGAGGGAAGAGATGGGGGTGTTGGGATCTTCAGCAAGAAAGGTAGAAGGTGAGGTATCAAAGGTTCAAGTAAAATGGTGATCTTGATCTATTGGCATTAATGTTTACCTGCATTGACATTACTTATATACAGTATAACCTGTCTAAACTGGATATCAATGGGAACAAACTATTTGTCCGGTTTACACAGGTGTTCAGTTTATACAGGGTCAGCATGCCATTTTTTTGAAAATACAAAAATGCAGTGTTTTGCATATGATCTGTATACAAATGTGTCAACATAAACAACAGAGAAATTAATCAAATGCAACATTTAATTATTTGCAAAGTATACAGTATATAATACAAATGAAGGGCGACCCAACATTGGATAGCGCTAATTTGTTTAGAATGTGTTTGCTTTAGATTATAGCTGGTCGAGAGAAATTTCAGGACCAGAATGAACAGGTTGTTTTGACATATATTACTATGCCAACTTTTGTGAAACAACGTCGATTTTGGGAATGGACAGGGTCCAGTTTATACAGGTTACCTACTATGATTATATAGGGAATATGCCGGGACCACAAATCACAGCTGGTTTAGACAGGGATCTGGATTGGACAGTAGCCAATTTAGACAGGTTATACTGTACAATAATTACATAGCCCCATATACAATTAATGAAAATACAGTAAAGGCATAGTATTCAGCAATTTGTCATAAGTTCAAAAGCTAAATATTATTCAGCATGTATACATGGTTATTTGTGTCATTTTTTATTTGATTTTCTAGGATTTTTATCACTCACTTTGAACATATATAAGACAGGCCCAGTGTCAAAAGTTTTAGCCTGTAGATACTCAAATGTTAGGACAAAAAAGTACACATGGAATACTAACATGCAGACTTAGAGAGGAAGATCTTTACACTAAAGTTCAAATGTTCAGCCCTGGCTACAATACTTTTGTTTAATATTTCTACCTTTACGACGCCATCCTTGATATCATCAGTCAGCATGAGCAACTGGTCCGGACAAAGCTGATCAGTCGCCTCCAGGACACTCATCTTCTTTGGCAAATACATTTCATGTCTCACACATGAGGCACATTGGGCCTGTATCCCTCACCTGTTTCTATCAGATCTAGACAGAACAAGAAAATGTTTGTACTAATTTAAGTCACACATTGTACAAGACCATAAAACTTAAAGCCTGAATGACAACATAACACACTTATTACACTTTTTGCAATCAAAATTAATAGATGGTAAAAGATTACATTTTTATTCTTTCTATAATGACATATCTTATCTCAAGGAAATTATTCTACATCTGCTTAAAGATGGCTTTATTCCCATTGATTTTTGGTATTTAGAAGTTTTATTAACATGCTTTTCTTTTTGTAAAAGCAGGTATATAGCACATGAACAGTATATGACAATACCAAGAAATGTTGTTGTTTGTTGATATGCTTCAAAATACCATCCTGACAACTGTAAACTAATCAGCCGGCACACAGGTTTCTCTATGTGATATGGTATAAGGCTTACACATATGATCTCGACACTTTAAATTATGCTGCTACATATAGTAGGCCATGACTAAATCTGAAACCTTTTCTATAATTAGAATTTTCTTAAACTGCATTGATGGAAAGTTCAGAACTTTTGTAATACTGAGAAAAAAAACACCCATAATGCTTTAATATGTAATCATGACCAGTAAATCAATTTCTTGATAAATGATTGTTGTGTTCATTTCCACAAATCTAATGCATATACATACACAAAACCTGTAGTGTTGGCGATTGTATCATTCAAGATTGCTGTCGCAAAATGTCTTGTAAAATGGAGGTATAACCAAACATAAATAATAAACATTATTTAAAATAGTTTAATACAGGGCTCCGGTGCACACATCTCGCTAAATATAGAACAAAATAGTCTTGCTCAAGTTCACAGTGACCGATTTGGAGGAGTACAAATTCACTGCTCACAAATATGTTTCAAATACAAGAAGGGAAGTGATGAATCTTTATGCCTCAACACCTTGGATTAGATTCTGTACATGAAGTCATTCCTCATTTTTATTATACCTCCTGGAGAAAAAGAAAATGTAACGGCCAGACCCAGTTCTAACCCAGGACCCTCCTAACTCTAGACTCGATGCTTTACCAATTTGGATACCTGGTCGCCAACGATTGACCTAGTCCAGTTCCGCTACACATGTTTCATAAAAATCTCATCGTCAGAAAGCTACGTAGGTTATCACAGCTAGTTCCAAAGGGGAATCAATGGGGCTTCATTGTTGCCTTTGACATCAGACAGAGAATGCCACACCCTGTCTTACACTTATGTCAGCTCTGTCCAGTCACATGACTTGGGGATAATCCCTAGTCAGGTGACTGAACATCAATATGTCTGTCCTGGTCAGTATAGGGCTGAAGAAGTCAGCTGACTGAAACAGCCAAAACCAGCTAGTGTTGGTAGTAATTTAATATTTTTATTGAGTGAAGAATACTTATAAATAGGCAATTCTCATCTCTTAAAGCTATCCTACTGTAACATTCATGTTTTCTTTATCTGTCATAAAAAATATTTAATGCAGATGTTGACAAACTGCAGATAATCAACAGCCATAATAAAAACATAAATGACAGTTATTATAACTGAATAAATATATAAAAATTTCAGTAGACCTTGTGTTAATTAAGAAACAATAGAAAATTCATAGGCTTTCTATAAATTATTAAACAGAAATTGCAACGATTATTTCATCTGTACATATACCTCTTGGTGTGTTTTCTGTCTGGTCTCGGAAAATATTTCTATATTGGCGCAGCATCATCACACAACTATTGATCAGCTTCAGCAACCTTGTAGGGGAGGTAACTCTAACAACTAAACCAAATATTTGGGGCTCAGAAGGGAAACATGTCTCAATAACGAGCTCAAACAGGAGCACCATAAAATCGCGTAAGTAACAAGTTTGATTTTACCGTTTCATCTTACCATTATTTTATGTCAACCTTTTTAATTGGTTCGCTTCTTGACGATTATAATGTATCATCTACTGTAATATAAGAGGCGTATTGTATGTAACCAGTTGTTGTTGTAGATTCTATATATTATTCATACAGTGTTGTTCTCAAAAAATCATTTTTATATTGTTCTTGAGATGATGACACAATATGTACTAAACTGCTAGTTTTAGACCTAAATAACTTAACTGTAAGAAATCTTATTCTTTGTCGAAAAATGGAATTTGAAACCAGTTTGGACCCAGATAAAATCTTAACAAACACATGACTAAGTGCACCAAGCATGTTTTTGTCACTAGGAAGTGAAACCAAAAACTTTATCACATAAATTCCTCTTTCATAGTTACCCCCGCCTTGCCCCAGAAAAGGATCAAATATCCCGCTGTATGCCAGATGGGAGATCACGTGACACACCAAACACAAAGAAAAAGGTTAATTCCTGTGGAGTTATTTTTAGCACTACTTCTCGCAGCTGTTTAGTGGCATTTTCCGGTTATGGAATTATGGGAAGACAGATGTTCAACATGGCGACCGAAGACAGGGGATTCCCTCCAAGAATGGTGCATTGTTCGAAGTTTCACATGACATAGCATCGAGAAGGGATTATATGTGACATTGCACACGGAAGTGTGAAAAATAGATTGCAATACACAATATCGCATGTGTCATAGTAGCTTACGATGCATGTTATTATGATTTTGAATGGCAAATCATAGTGTTATTCCGTCGAGAAAAGTTTCAACAAGTTGTAAGTTTACAATTTTGGCCATGTTTTCTTCCACTATCGGACTATAACTGCGTGATTCAGCATCTCATTCATCGTGTCATCCTGTTTGATAATCGCAGACGGTTCTGTTTGTTATAAGAGAGACGTTGTGTTGCATGTTGCTGTTTTGATGGGCAACTCTCCTTATATTGGGGAGGCATACATACTTGTTTATCAATATCATGCGATAGTGTTGTGTACATGTCATTAGTCATGCAAATCCACACATAACAATGCCTTCAGGACGGATGATTTGTTTTGTGTGTGGAAGCTTAGGGGCTGAAACAACACTGAATATAAAACCACAGGAAAGGGGCCCCTACTTTCCATTTCTGGAAAACCATGATCCTCCCAAGGGATGCCGTCTACCGAAGAAGGATGGGCGGGTGGATTCTTGTCGAGTATGCTATATGTTTTTGAGCCAACAGTGGGAAACTTATGAACGATCAAGAACCCCGGCAATTAAGAGGCTGTACTGGCTGAAAAGATCTGATAATGGACATTTCACTGGAGCAGAGATGAGGATACAAGGAGAGTATATTGCTCAAGTGATGGGTCTGCAGTATCAGCCGGGTGTTTTTGATGGAGGAGCTTCTCCAGGAGAAAGTCGTCCAGACAATTGCTCGCCAGTATCTGTGCAACGCTCTGACGGAAGGCAGAGTTCTGATTACATTGCCCAACCACAGGTTGCTATACCAACAAATTTCAAGCAATCACAGGGAAGTAAAGCCTCATTTAGTCATGAGAGCAGGCATCTTGTTCCACAACAAGGGGCTAACAATTCATTGAGGAATATTGACACTGCTCCACAGCGGAGTGCACTTGCTGACGGAGCCTTGGATTTGTCTGTTACTACTAAGAAAATGCCAGAAGGAGGTAGATTGAAACTTAGTCACGAATCTGAAAGCATTAAACATATTTGTTGTTTTATCTGTACTAAAGAATGCGGCATTAATCAGAGCAAGCTTGTCAGCACCTGCCGACAGCCAACTAGCGAGCCTTACTTTCCAGTTTTGGGACATTTACCTCAGGCAAATAACCCAAATGCTTTAACCAAAAATGGCCAGGTTAGAGTGTGTCTCGGGTGTAAGAACCTTCTGTACCAGCAATGGCAGGCCTATGAGATGTCTGGTATCCCTATGCAACACAGGACTTATAAACTGTACGATGATGTATCTCCTCTGATGGGGACAGAAGGGAATGGCAGTCTGAAACCACGAGATGATCAGGACACAAAACCTCCACAAGCTTTCCAACATGTCTGCTATCTCTGTGGACATCTTTATCCTAAGGAACTCATTCAGCCTTTGTACACTATTCCACCCTGCCATCAGTCACTCGGAACTCTTTTCTTTCCATTTATTCGAGATCTTCAGAGGCCACAGGGAGCACATCCTTTAAAATCAGATGGTACCGTACTGGCTTGTCGTAATTGCTTTGGTGACTTGTACCAACAATGGCAAGTATTTGAGGCAGAGGGTGCACCTCTGTATCGACGTCCATATTCACTTTCATTTCTGAGTAAGAAAATAACATCTGAGTCTGGAAATGTTGTACAGCCAAAAATAAAACAGGAAGTGGAGACAAATGAAGGTGAGGGTGGTCCTTCTTCGTCTTCCTCAGATGTAAGTCAGCCCCTTAACATTCAGATCACAGAGAGCTCCACAGCACTAGAAAGCAGTACTTCAAAGTCCAACACTGTAGGCTCCCAGGGACTTCTGGCTATTGCCACCCAAGGCATTGGGTCTGTGGCATCTAACCTCACTAGCTCAGAACCTCCTTCCTGGTCTGTGGCAGAACAGATGAAGAAACAGCAAAATCAAGAACAAAAAAGTTTAACTGTCCCTCACCCACTTCAACAGGTGTCAGCAATTCCGAAAAAAATCTGCTTTTTATGCGGCACAAAATCTAGAATTTCGAAAATGCATGTTTTATGTTCATATCCGACTCGCCATGAAGCTAAAGGAGCAAACAGCCAGATAGTTCCCTTTTTTCCGTTTTTGGCAAATAGAGATCCGGCACCGAAAGCAGAGTCCATGTCTGAAGATGGAACTGTCATGGCATGTAACATTTGCTATCATGCTCTATTGAAACAGTGGAATGAACAGGAAGAGTCGAAAAATCCTGCTGAAAATAATCGTTGGCTGAGGAAATATACCGTTCCTGAGATGATTGGCTGTTACGTGTGCTCTAAAAATGTGAAGCGTAGGAACACACAAATAATAAGTATTGCTCAATTTCCGAGTCTGAAGGACCATCCTGTCCCAGCCAATGCCTTGGTTGTGGATGGTGGTGAGGGCATTACCGCATGCGGTATCTGTTCCAACAGCCTTGGACTCCAGTATGCTGAGTTTGAGAGGATGGGCGTCCCCATTGAAATGAGGAAGTACAACTGGGTCAATGCTAGCCAGAGTGATGCTGCTGAGGATCAAAAGGCAGACAACCAGAATGAACAGGTATTGTTGATATAAAGCTTTATAGATATAGGGTAAACAGGTTAGTTCACTCAAATTGTATAGAAATAAACCTGTATGTATATACATTGTGTGTGCATATATATGCAACATAGGGTAGACTGGCCCTACCACTTGAATCTTGAATTTATAAAGAAAAATGGTGTTCTTAAACTTTGATCTCATTGATTTCTAATTGTAACTAAGGGGAGATAAGCTAGTAGAAGAATGCAGTTTGGGAATTTTCAAGTTAGCCTTTGTAGCCAGTCTTAGCATAGTAGTGTATTCTGTAGATCTTGTTACTTGCATTTTGTGTATAATGAAAAAACCCATTAGATTATGGGAGAGTTTTATCATGTACTGGTAATGCAAACATCAAAATTTTGCAATGTTTTACACATGTTAAGTTCTGCTCTTATTTCTTCCAAATGTATTAAAGTCATGTTTATGAGTGTACTTTTTCCACAGTTCTTAAATAGATGTATGTATGTGTTCTTGTCAGGATGAAGGTGAGGACAACCTACTGCTGAATGTTGATGAGAATAGTTCTGACAGCCAGGGCAGTGGTGTTGATATGAGGCAGACTGACAACAGTACTAGTAAGTGCTTATTAATATCACTAAGATAAGATATAATCGAACCTTAATCAAGTAACAACAACCTACTCATAATAGAATACCAAGGTACTCATACTTTAGCACGATTGAAGAACCAGAATACTCCAAACAAACATAAACAAAGTAGCAAACTATTCATACATTTCATACCTAAGATTTACATATTGATATTCTTATTCAAAAGGCCATACCAATTTGATTCTTGTTCTTTGGAGAATGACATTTAAAAACAATGAGCAATCAAAATTATTTTACTTTAAAAAAAATATTCTAAAAAAGTCATAGAGAGGGTTTTAGAGGACTGGTGTATGTTTGATCACAGATTTGTATGGATTTTATATTTGGATCCCTGTATACTGAAATTGGCATGTTTGGACACCTAACTACGTACAATGTTATTTGACAAAGGGCATAACTGCCAAAAATGTGAATTTCAACTATCAGTTTGTTGGTTTCTGTCGGTTCACTGATGAAAAATATTAATTTGTTCATGTCTACAGAAGTCTTGAGAACAACATTTTTGACAGTATCTGTCTTTACAGACTCTGCTTTCAAATCTGTTAACTAGGAGCAGAAAATTACTCACATGCAAAGTTTTCAACCATGAAATGAGGTCATATATATATGGTCTTAATGTTGGCCAGGGGCTTGCTAACAGCAGGTTATACCAGTAATATGTTATCTTTTTAAAGTCATCAGATTTGTGGTATGACATTTAAACTACTAGAATTGGCCTTGTAAAATACTAGGTTGTCTTCTAAGGAGGATTTTAATGTTTAAATCTGTAAAAAGATGATTTTTGAAATATGTTCAATGTTAAGATAAGGTTAATGAATTCAGGAGATTCAAAATATACCACAAATCTGTACATGACACTGAGGTCATTTTCATATTGACTTGTGAATATGCACATCTTGGCCGGCATGAAATTCAACAAGAAATTAAATTGGTATGGCCTAATTACGAATGACATATTTATATGCTTATTTATAATTATGAATGACCTTTCAAGGTACTTGAGCATAATCATGTAAGAGGTATGAAGGTGCTTGTACATAAATGCCAAGCTAGACACACGTTATGTTATGTTACAAAATGCCCATAGTTATAGTCTGGAGTCATGGACAAGATATGGTATGTATTTGTCTGCTTGTACACAGGCCTGTCATGGAAAGGAATATTAAACATGGATGCATGGAAACTCAAACCCAACCAGTAACCAAATGCCAGGTGTAAATGAACGGGTAAAAAAATCCTTGTTACAGCTGCTACATCGGTGTTATTGTGTTGACCACAATAAGATAAAACACAAAAAGAGCAAATGTCAGGAAAAATTCTCAAGATACCAAAAGTTAAAAACAATAAAAAACACAGAAGTGTATGTCTTATTGAATATTTTGCTACTGTATGTTTGATACTGTATAGCGCTTTAATTCATGAGGTCAGGTTTGTAATTTTGTTCCTGGAACTAATTTGTGTGGTTTAAGTTTCGCGCTACAGAGAGTTAAATCATAATTAACTATCTATTATAAAATTGTTGGGATTTAAATTTCAGATTTTGTACTCACACTGCATATGTAGCAAGAATGGATCCTCCATGATATTAAGCGCTATACATTATTCAGTCTTGTCATGATTGCTGTACATGTACTTTCCTTCATGTACAGTAGCTGTTACTTCCAGACACTTTGATGAGGGCAGGTCACATCTTACAGACTGATAATATACGAATCATGACGTATATGTTGAGTTTTGTTTTGAAAAATACAGAAATTCAACATTGCGACTATTAACCCAAGCTGGAGTATGTTAAGGAAAATTGCTGGCAGCCTTAGCAATAGTCAATAGGACTAGCCTATTTAGGAAAAGTTCCACACATGGATGGACTGGACTGCCTGTGGCATCAGTGTGTGCCAAATTACACCTGAACACAGATCTATATGGTAGAAATTGTAATAAAGTCTGGTAATCCTTAAAATAGTTTTACACATGCTGTGACATCACTCTTTGAGTGACTGGCCTGTTACAAGACTCTCAAGATGACTTTGTGTGACATCAACCTCGGGTTGACTTGCACTTCTATCACATCATATACCCTGGTCAATCTGAACTACATGTAAGCAGTTTTAGTTTCAAAGTTACTTTATTCCTTATTGGCTGATAGATAGGAAGAATTTGACAGTGTCTGCGGCACTGGTACCTTCACATTGGATTTTGACCTTACCATTGGGTACTGTAAATACTCACATATCTTGAGATAATTTCTTTCTATTGATCAATATTATAGCACACAGTTCAATGATCCGCAAATAAAGTCCTATTCCATATATAGTCAGTTGACACTTGGTGGAGCCAAAATTAGATATTTTTTATGTGAGGGCAAAAATTGCCTGACAGCTTAAANAATAAAATAAAAAACACTTACATTACAACGAAAACAAGACCAAGGTCTGCAATATCGTACAAAATGCACATCGGTTGAAATCACCAATGCCGGCAATGGAAACAATTTTAACGCTCATGCAATTTATCAGAAATATCGTCTGTTACACTGCACTGATCAACAGGGGTTCGTTACAAATGTCTGATATACACATATTCTATAGACCTACTGACACATATGTTACATACCTACTGATATGAGTCACAGCACACATAAACATTTGTAATGAACCTGTGCTCCGTCGCAAGATCACTCACTTCAAACGCTATTAGTTTCACGCATCTAGCATCCACGGTTCCTCAGTTTCTGACGACATGTCAAATAACGAGGCTGTTATAGAATCTACCGACTGTTGTCAGGTTCCCATACAATCAACAAATAAATTCACGCCTGGATTCTTCACAAAATGAGCAAAGAGAAAAGTTTGAATTAACTTCCAAAAATAACCCCCTCGTGGAGGGCAATGTCGGATTTACGGTGTTCACTATATTTGTCCATGCGCGAAATTTGTTCCGGGGGAAAATCGAAACAATTTCAAATCTAACTTTCAGCTCAGAGATCTATTGATAAACTTTAATAACCCTATAGACATATCATATGCAATTGTATTGATACTGAATTGTGGAATAAAATTGAAGTGTTTGTTAAAATTTCAAAGTACTACTTTGTTTGCCAATCAGCATGCGACAATACGCTGTTCAAACTATTGAACGAAATTGTGTGGACTGTCGATAAGGCAGGCATTTTTTATTTTATATATAAATTATAAGTTAAAAAAGAACATTAGAGGCAGAGAAAACGTAAATATAAGTATTGAACTGTTTTTATGATCTATTTGAATGACACAGCTTTGCAAGCAAACAAATCATAATGCGCTAGCGCACAGTATGTTGTTTGCTTGCAAAGCTGTGTCATTCAAATAAATCATAAATACCATACAAAAACAGTTCAATGCCTAAGTAAAAACTCCACATAAGTATCTAAGACATGAAATGTTTTCAGACATTGTAAGAACTTACTTCTTCAAGGACAAGGGTTATTAGCTATATAGGACCAAATCTGATCAATATCAAATTAATTACCGAATCTTTTAAATCTCGCTCACAGATATTTGTTTTTCAGATCACACACATATATGATGATTTCACACAAATATTTGTGTCTCAGATAAGACAATAGTCAGACCACATATGTGTGTGACTCATATAAACTAGTAATAGTTATTTGTTATTGAGACAACACAAATATTTGTTATTTGCGCCTCTTAAAGATATTTGTTACCCAGATCACAGATAGTTCTAACTCCAAAACACTGGATACATTACGCACAGATGGTCCGGGCCTTCCACAATGGCATATCCTTCCAAAATGTCAAGTCTACAGCCTTCTGGAGTAAACAAACTACTTTTACGGACCAAAATTAACCTGATGGTCCTTATTGTAACTCATGTAAAACTGATATTGAAACAATAGAACATACCCTATGGGAATGTGATAAGGTGCAGGTTATGTTACAAAATTTGGAGTTTTATTAGATGCTTAATGATCCCTTTTGCTTACAATAAGGAGACTTTTATCTTTGGACTATATAATCAAGATGGAATAACAACAACAATAGACAGTTCAATTATTTTGATTATGAAACTATATATTTATTGAGCAAGATGCCTACAAACACATTTATCTATAAATGGTCTTAAAAAAGCAATCAAGTACAACTATACTTCACAAAAATATATTGCAACAGGCAAAGATGACAAATACAATAACAATTTTAAAAATGATTGGAAAACATGGCAAAAGTTAATTAATATCTCCTGGATCTTCAATTTGCTGAACTTAAGATTACTGTTTACTTTTATAATATGTAATATTATTGGTCACTAGTATATGAGTTGTTTTGTATCCATTTTTACAATTAATTTCTCAGGTTTTCTACATCTTACTATGGCAATGCTTATTTTCTGTCATGCTGCTGTCTGTTGTAAAGGTTAGATTGACACCAGTGGTTTTGCCTGTATACCTATCAATGAGAGAGTATTCTCCAGGTTGTCATATATCCTTTCTACACTATAACGATACACAGCATGATGATAATTAACTTCGGATTGAAAGAAACTCTGATTATTACCACTTACATGTGAGAGGTTGCTTGATTTTATAAGGGTCATCGGATATGTCCCTTGGAAATTTCCGTACAATTACATGCTCAGAATCTTTAGTAAGAGTTGCCTCCCCTTAATGCCTTCCCACTTTCCTGCTGACTGAGGTGTGCTGATCTGACTGACGGCTCCAAAGGATATACTGTAGGCATAACACAAAGACAATGAACGGCAAGAGTTTTTGTCAGAGAAAATCGATCGGCAGCACCCTTGAGACTTTCCAACATAGGCCTCCGCTAGGGCTGCAAGCACAGCACAGGGAAGTATGCAGCACCTACATATGTAAAACTAACATACACATATGCCTGCCAGCCTCACTTGACCTCTGAACTTTGACCTAAGAACCTCTGACCTCAGGGGGTCAGAATTGCATGAAA